ATATAAAAATTCCTATTTAGGGCAAAAGCAATGTAGTTTCATTTTTGGAAAAGTTAAAAATATATAGACAAGCAAAAAGAAGAAAATAAACAAAATGCTCCTCTCTCCATCCCAGCTATCCACTCTTGAACATTCTATTGTATAGCTTTCAAAATCTCTTTGAGTCTGCTTTCACACATGCGCGTGCGTGTGCGCATACACACACACACACACACAGTGTACATGCATGTATACAGTCATGCAACCATTCATATATACTTTTTATATTTAATATGTATTTTAGTTCTGCAAAAATTTAATAATAGCCATATGAAGATATGATTCACATACCATAAATTCACTTTTTTTTTTTTTTTTTTATCCTCACCCGAGGACATTTTTCCTTTTTTTTTTGTTCAGGTAGAGTGGGAGGGAGAGAGAGGAACAGAGAGAGAGAGAAACATCGATGTAAAAGGAACACATCGAGTGGCTGCCACCCGCACAACCGACCAGGGCCGGGGACAAACTGCAACCGAGATACATGCCCTTAGCAGGAACCGAACCCGGGTCTCTCAGGACCGCAGGCCGACGCTCCAACCGCTGAACCAAACCGGCCAGGGCCATAAATTCACTTTTAAAGTGCATGATTCAGCTCTGGCTGGTTTGGCTCAGCGGTTAGAGAGTCGGCCTGCGGACCAGAGCGTCCTGGGTTTGGTTCTCGCTAAGGGCATGTACCTCGCTTGCGGTTTGTCCCTGGCCCCAGTTGGCGTCGTGTGGGTGGCAGCCACTCAATGTGTCTCTCTCATGTCGATGTTTCTCTCCCTCTCTTCCCCCCTCTCTTTCTCCTGCTCTATCTGAAGATAAATGCAAAAATGTCCTCTGGTGAGGATAAAAAAATAAAATAAAATAAAGTGCATTATTCAGTGGTTTTTAGTATATTCATAGAGTTGAACAACCATCCCCACTACCTAATTCCAGAACATTTTCATCATTCCAAAAAGAAACACAATATTTATTAGCAGTTACTCCCTATACAATAACGTAGCCTTTTGTGTCTGGCTTCTTTCACGTAGGCTTCTTCAAGGTTCATCTCTGTTGTAGAATTTATCAGAACTTAGGTTTTTGTTTGTTTGTTTGTAAATGACTGAATGGTATTCCATTGTATAGATATACCACACTTTGTTTATCCATTCATTAGTTGTTGAACACTGGATTGTTTTCACTTTTGGGCTATTATTGATGCTGCTATGAACATCAATGTACAAGTTTTTGTGTGGTCATGTTTTTAATTCTGTTGAGTATATACTTAGGATTGGAATTGCTGGATCACAGGGTAACATTATGTTTAAATTTGTGAGGAATTATGGAAGTGTTTTCCAGTATCTATATCATGTTCATTTCCACCAGCAACATATAAGGGTTCCAATTTCTCCACATTCTCACCAACACTTATTATCTGTTCTTTTTAAAAAAAAAATTTTTTTTTTCTTTATTGATTTTAGGGAGAGAGGAAGGGAGAAGTAGGAGAGATAGAAACATCGATGAGAGAGAACATCTATTGGCCACCTCCTGCATGCCCCCCACTGGGGATTTGGCCCACAACCTGGGCATGTGCCCTGACTGGGAATCCAATCGGTGACCTCTTGGTGCATGGGTCAATGCTCAACCACTGAGCCACACCAGCCGGACTCTGTCCTTTTGATTCTAGCCATCCTAAAATGGGTGTAAAGTGACATCTCATTGTTGTTTTGATTTGCATTTGCCTGATGACGAATGATGTTGACCATCTTTTTGTGTGTTTATTGGCACTTTTATATCTTCATTGAAGAAATGTCTATTAAAAAGTTTCCCATCATTTAATTATTATTTTTTTAAATAGTTGAGTTGCAGAGTTCTTTATTCTGGATTTGAGTCTCTTATCAGTATATGATTTGCAGATCTTTTTTCCCTGTCTTTGGGCTGTCTTTTTACTTTTTTTGATAGTGTTCTTTGAAGCACAAAAAAAGTTTTTAAATTTGATGAGATTCTGTTTATTTTTCTTTTTTGTGTGTGTGCCTTTGATTTCATATGTAAGAAACCATTGCCTATTTCAAAGACAGATTTACTCCTATGTTTTTATTAAAGAGGTTTATAGTGTTAGTGGTTACATTTAGGTCTTTAATACATGGTGAGTTAATTTTTTAATATGGTGTGAGGTAGGTGTCCAACATGATTCTTTTAATTTTTTTTATTTTATCCTTACCCGAGGACATTTTTCCATTTTTTGTTCAGATAGAGTGAAGGGAGAGAGGGAGGGAGGAAGGGTGAGAGAGAGGGGAGAGAGAGAGAGAGAGAGAGAGAGAGAGAGAGAGAGAGAGACATCGACATGAAAGGGACACATTGAGTGGTCGCCACCGCCCAACCCAACCAGGGCCGGGGACAAACTGCAACCGAGGTACATGCCCCCAGCGGGAACTGAACCTGGGTCTCTCTGGACCACAGGCCAACGCTCTAACCACTGAGCCAAACCAGCCAGGGCCAACATGATTCTTTTGCAGGTGACTAGCCAGTTGTTCCAGTACCATTTCTTGGCAATATTCAAAATGGTGAAAATGAAGTAGCCATAAATGTAAGGGGTTATTTATGAATTCCCAATTCTATTCCAGTGATCTATGTTTATCCTTTTGCCAGTACCATACTGTCTTGATCACTGTAACTTTGTATTAAGTTTTGAAATCAGAAAATGTGAGTCCTCCAACTTTGTTATTTTTAATTTAAGATTGTTTTGGCTATTCTGGGTCCTCTGCAGTCCACATAAATTTTAGAATCAGCTTATCAATTTCTGCAAAAAAAAATCATATGGGAATTTGATAAGGATTGTGAATATGTAAATTGCTTTGGGGAATATTACCATCTAAACTATTATCTCCCAAATCCATGAACATAGTATGTCTTTCCATTTATTTCAATCTTCTTTTAATTACTTCCAAAAATATTTTTTAGTTTTCATTATACAAGTCTTGTACTTATTTTGTTACATTGATTCCTAAGAATTTTATTATTTTTGAGTCTATTGTAAATGGAATTGCTCTTAATTTCATTTTTGGGTTGTTTATTTCTAGTGTTTAGAAATACAACCAATTTTTATACATTTATGAGTTTATATCCTTTTTTAATGTTTAAATATTATGAACATCTTATAGATTTTATAGAAGTATATACTCCTATAACATCACTTTATAGACCTTGTAATAATTCATTGTGTCATATACCATAATTTATTTAATTACCTCTTTATTAATGAACATTTAGTTTCTTTTAAACTTGAAAAAAGTTATAAAAAGTTCTGAAAAGTACTCACCATTAAATCTTCGCAAACTTGCCCTGACCGGTTTGGCTCAGCGGTTAGAGCGTCGGCCTGCGGTCCTGAGAGACCCGGGTTCGGTTCCCGCTAAGGGCGCGTACCTCGGTTGTAGTTTGTCCCCGGCCCTGGTCAGTTGTGCTCAATGTGTTCCTTTCACGTCGATGTTTCTCTCTCTCTCTCTGTTCCTCTCTCTCCCTCCCACTCTACCTGAACAAAAAAAAAAAAGGAAAAATGTCCTCGGGTGAGGATAAAAAATAAAAAATAAAATAAATCTTCGCAAACTTTCTGAATTATTTCCTGTATATAAATATCTAAAGTGGAATTGTTAGGGCAAAACATATGTGCATTGGAGTCATTTGTTAAGCACTGCAAAAATTGCCTCCCTGAAAGGTTACATATTTTTCTCACTTCTACCAAGGGTGTGATACTTGAGTCCCTGAATTCTCTTCAACTTTCAGTTTTATTTAAAAACTTGTTTGCTAGTTTGGAATGTGGAAGATGAGTCTCATTGGTGCTTTGCTTGTATTTCAATTTCCAGGAAGGACACATATTTTTTCATGTTTATTATCTTAAAACATTTACTTTCTGTGAATCATGTTAGGTTTCTTAGCCACGAGTGTTCAACTTTTCCTAATTATTTTGTAAAAGCAGTTTATATATGAAAGTCATTAATCCTATGTCTTTTAATGGTATAAATTTCCTCCTCCCTCATTTATTTTCCATTTTTGTTTAGTTACGGTGCTTTTCATGCACACATTGTTACTTTTTAGGTCATCAATACATCAATCTTTGTGGCTTTTCCGTTTTGGGGTTTTGCTCCATCCTTCAGAGCTCCAGCCCTACTTCTGAGGAACTTCTGCCCCTAATGGCCAACAGCTGACCCCCTCTCTAATTGCTTAGAGGGCCTATGTGGGCTTCGTTTGGTGAGGTGTTCCTGCATTCCAGACCAAGCCTCAGTCCCTGCCAGAGTATGGTATATCCTAAGGTCAGCTTGACAGCTCCAGTATTTCACTCAACATCTTTCACATTGGGCATCTAGAGGATTTCCTCCAGGGTGAATTTCCAGTTTGACAACTACAATTTCCACTATTGGCTGTCTCTTAAATGCGTTCATTCTGCCACTCACAATCCCCTTTGAGCTCCTTTGCTTCCAGACGCAGTATGTGGCTGCAGTGCCATAGATGTCGGTGACGCACAGTTTGAGAACTGAGGCTTGTCTGAGAAATCACAATATCTTTTATATAAGTTCTGCATGAATGGCACTTTCCTCTGATACCTCACCCAAATTTGCTGTAAGCCTCCTCCCTTGTCCAAGGTCCAGAGCTGACTTTTCTGGACTACCGTGAGTATCTAGAAAGGAGAAATATCTGATTTTGCTCTGGCCGTGGGAAGTTGGGGCTGTCCGGGCCCCGAGCTTGAGCCGTTAGGATGGGAGCCCGGGAACGCCTTTTGCCTTCCCCGCCCGCAAAGTTTGCAGCGCACTGCGCGCTTGCAGCGACGCTGTCTGCTGGCTCGGGGCTGGGCGCTGTCAGTTCCTGATCCGGCGGTGCCCGCTGCAGGCAGATTCCACAGGACAGAAGCCTCCCCCACGCCGTGGGCTCCGGGGCAGCGCTCGCCCGCCCAGCTGGAGGACTGTGCTGTCCGGACTGCGGGGCTCCCCTTTCCCCCGCCTCCCCGAGCCCCTCCGCGGGCCGCCCAGGAGGGAGGGCCATGCGCGGCGGGATGGCTGCGGCCGCGCGGGCTCGGGACTGGGTACCGCCGCCAGTCCTGCCGTCGCTGCTGCTGCTGCTGCAGCTCTTGCTGCCCGCCGTGTGCACCGCCGCTCGGGGAGCCCCAGCCGCAGCCGGGCTCAGCCTGCATCCGCCCTACTTCAACTTGGCCCAGGCGGCGAGGATTTGGGCCACCGCCACCTGCGGGGAGCCGGAGCCCGGAGGCGCGCAGCCCCGGCCGGAGCTCTACTGCAAGTTGGTAGGGGGGCCCACCGCCCCCGGCAGAGGCCACACCATCCAGGTAAGGTCCGGGGTGAGAGCCAGGGGTGGGGGGAACTGGGGGCGGCCTCCCTCCCCGCGTGGTTCAGCCACAAGGGGCGAAGGAATTGAGCCCTTTCCCCGCGCGCGCTAGTGACCCCAGACGAGTGGGAAGAGCTCCCTCAACTCTGGCGCGGGCCGGCGACCGTGGGAGGTGGGCGCGATGTCCCGCGAGCGATCCCTTGGGAGCATCGCCCTTGTCAACGCGCGGCCCGAGGCGGGGATGGGTAAAGCATGCCAGGTGAATGAAGTCTGGCCTCAGGTTTGGGCGAGCAGAGGAGAAATCCCGAATCTGTGCGCTAGGGATGCAGGGAACCGTGGTCCAGTTCTGACTCGGCTCGTCACCCAGGTACCCCTCGGCCAGGCTTTGGGTCCACACGGAGTTCGCTAGCGCGCCTCCTTCAAGCCACTTCAAGCCACTTCATCTCCTCTACCTTATTCCGAGGAGACATTGGTAGCCGTTGGTTTCCGTGGTGTATTTTAAGAGAGATTTTTTAAATTACATTAGTAGTACCATTTCGATGTCATTGAAAAGATGCACTTCACTCCACTGCCTGAAGTGCCACCATTCAGAGTCATTGGGACAAATAAGACTTGAGATCGACAGGTACAGCGCTTGAGTCCATTAGAAACGCTCACCGCGAACGCCAGGTGTAAATGATAGAGCTGGTGGTGCTGAATCAGCTTGTGGTTGTGTGCCAGGTCCTAACACACAATCCTCGCAACAGCGCTGGGAAATGGATCAGGTGCAGGTTAAGAAAGGCGCCTATGTCCTACAGTAGGGCATCTGGATTTGAACCCAGTCCTGCCTCCAAAAGCCGCTTTATGCTAAGCCACAATTGCTCCCTTCAGATGCTGGGAAGTGTTGCTGAAGAATACCAAAGTGTTGCCAGAAGAGGGAGTAATGTTGGAGCTTGTGCTCCAAAAGCTAAAGATTGTCACTGAGAGTTTTTGAAACTCTTTTGACTAGGCACTGGCATACCTGACAAGCTGTTGACTCTGCAGTGCCCATACATGTTTATTTATTTAGAAATTATATGCATGTATTACTTTATTAATATATTGTGTGTACTTAAAACATGCAAAATAGAAATGTAAAAGAAAAATAATGCTGAAAATACTTTCATTTTATTTATTAAAAGATCAAAATAATTTTGCTTTCTCTAAAAATTTTATTTGTGATTGTGTATAACTATTCATAAATATACAGATATGCAAAAGTACTTATATGTGTAATTATTTTTTACAAGTTTAGTTTAGCACTTATGATACAATTCAAAGTTGTTTTATATTAATAGTTGAATTTAGCAATTGTTATAGCTGAAGAGATACCTCAAAAAATATGTAGATTCAAATGGAAGAACTGCATTGACTAAGCTCCAGAACCAACTACATAATTTATTTATTTTTATTTTATTTTATTATTTTTTATCCTCAACCGAAGACATTTTTTCATTTTTTGTTCAGGTAGAGTGGGAGGGAGGGGGAGAGAGAGAAACATCGACGTGAAAGGGACACATTGAGTGGTTGCCACCTGCACGACCAACCAGGGCCGGGGACAACGTGCAACCAAGGTACATGCCCTTAGTGGGAACCAAACCCGGGTCTCTCAGGACCGCAGGCCGATGCTCTAACTGCTTAGCCAAACCAGCTAGGGCAGAACCAACTACATAATTTATGAAGTCCAACGCAAAATGAAAATGAGCAACCCCTTTGTTAAAAAATCATTAAGCATTTCAAGATGGTAATAGCAGAGAATTAAACCAAGTCAGAGGACTCTCTAAGAGTGGGGCCCTGTGTGACTGCACAGGGTGTCTGAGTTCACTAAATCACAGCACTCATATTTCTGCCCCATCCTTCAGTTATGTTAAGGATGTAAAGTAGAAACTTGGCCAGTAAATGTTTGCTTTTCAAGTGGTATTCAGTACTTTCTGGTAGGAAGGTGTTGTGTTTTAATGTTTCAAACAATAGATTCAAAACACATGGTAAGTTCTCTTTTGGAAAATATTAGAATATGTTAAAAAATTCTGTTTCCGTGTTTTTAAAATGTGCAACTATGAGAACTTTTAGAGTAACGGTTCCATATTTTTAGCAACAACAACAACAAAAAAAACATTTCCAAACATCTATTTTTAAAAACTGCTCTTTCCAAAGCATACATTTGTTAGAACAGTATTTACTTTTTCACACATTGTTAAAACAACACTTTATTTTGATAGAACAGAGTAAATACCTCTATTGTTTTGTAAATATCCATCAGGTAGTATATTACTGGCAGCCACTTGTCATCCCTGAAAAAGTCAGCACATTTGGAATTTATGTGAAAAAAAATGTTTTCTTTCTTTCTTTCTTTCTTTCTTTCTTTCTTTCTTTCTTTCTTTCTTTCTTTCTTTCTCTCTCCCTCTCTCTCTCTTTCTCCCTTTCTTTCTCTCTTTCTCCTTCCTTCCTTTCTTTCTTTCTTTCTTTCTTTCTTTCTTTCTTTCTTTCTTTCTTTCTTTCTCTCTTTTTATCCTCACCCAAGGACATTTTTGCATTCATCTTCAGATAGAGCAGGAGGGAGAGAGGGGGGAAGAGAGAGAGAGAGAAACATCCATGTGAGAAAGACACATCAACTGGCTGCCACCCACACAACCCCAACAGGGGCCGGGGACAAACCACAACCGAGGTTCATGCCCTTAGCAGGAACCTAACCTGGGTATCTCTGGACCACGGGCTGACGCTCTAACTGCTGAGCCAAACTGGCCAGGGCTGTAATTTATCTTTAAATTTAAAAGGTCTTTAAGTGATTTATCATGAGCTAACCAGTTAACACGTGTAGTCAAAAGAATTTCATGGTCACTCCCCATTTCAATAGAAGATTGTAACTATTCTGCTCTTCAGAAGAATAGAATCTCCATGTCCACTTAACTGGACACATATAAATTTCGAGTGTCAAGGTCAGATGATGGCCTGGTAGAACCCCTTCTCTTCTCTTGGACAGATATTCAGGACCATCGGTGACTTGTGACCAGCCAACTTGTGTACTCTGTGAAGATACCTAAGCAATCCATATATTAAATATTAGTAAAATTAAATTTCTTATTTTTAAGTAAAATAAATGTACAAAGAAGTCAGTATTCCCTTGGTGCACCCACTGGATTGCCTGGTACAGCCAACTTTGGAGAAAACTGTCCTAATTAAGGGGAGAGTAGATGCAAGGAGAAGGAAGACATTTTCAACGGACTCCTCTCCCCCAGATTTGCAGAGGAAGAGGCCACCATCCCTCATTTTCTCCATCTGGTATTTTTATTGTGTTCATAGTTTGATACTTCTGTTTTGGAGGTCCAGAAAAGTCATGTTTCCTTTTCCTGGTTGACTTTCCAGAACAGGTCATTAAACCTAGGTTCACAGTCCTAGATAGAGTAGGAAGTGACTGTGTTTCTAGGCCAGGGTGTAGCCTGCAGGAAAAAAAAAAACATTTGGGATTGTCTTGGCTTTCCTGAAAACGAGAGATGAACAAAACGCTCCCCTGAATAGTGCTTTCTGCTTTCAGAGTTGAGGGCTTGGGGAGAGGCACTGATGGCTGGTGTGAGAGGTTCTCATGTAAGGAGAAATGTGTCTGAGAACAGAAAGGGAAGCTGAGTTCTAGAGTCCAGGCTGTTAGACACCGTGATAGCCCAGTGTTGGCAGCTACAGACCCGCCTTTCAAAGAAATGAGGGGTGGAGGTTGGTGGGTGAGAGAAGGGAAGAAAGGTTATGATTAATCAGTTGGTTGTGCCTGAGCGATAGTAGTTGAAGTCTGCTCATGTACAGCTCAAGATGGGAAATGAAGATTTAACTAAAATAGTTCTATTCCACCCTGGCTGATTTCGCTCAGTGGTTAGAGCATCAGCCCGTGGACCAATGAGTCGTGGGTTTGATTCCAGTCAAGGGCACATACCTCGGTTGCGATTTCTCCCCAATCCTGGTTGGGGCTGTGCGGGAAGCAGCCACTCGATGTGTCCCTTTCACATCGATGCTTCTCTCTCTCTCTCTCTCTGAACAAAAATGGAAACATGTTCTTAGGTGAGGATAAAAAAAAAATAGTTCTGTTCTTTTGAACTTTCTGAAAATAATTCGTTGGGGCCAGCCAGGGTTTAGAATTTTAGGTCAGAAGGATTTTGCGAAAAAATGAATAAAGTCACATCTTAGACTAAAATCTGAGTTTATGATCCTGATTCTATAATGACAATGCTGATACTTAAATGGTAGCATGTGTCAACAGGCAGGGTGTTTTAAAAATCTGAATTTTTATTTTTGTGTGAAAAATGTTCACTGGTTTCTCTGGACCTGATATTCGTCAAATAAGATTTTATATACCTGTTAATGCTCAGACATTACGTTTTTGGAGTTTGATTGCTCTTTGATTCAGGGATTCTGTCTGGTTCATAGCTGTATCTCCAGTGCTTAGAACAAAGCCTGGAACTATATAGGTGCTCAGAAAATATTGAATGAAAGGATGGTGGTGTGGAGGTACAGTTACAGGCTAAAAAATGGAAGGCTGTGTCTAAAATACAACCTTATGTTTGGTTTAGCTTGGCACATACACTATACTCACAAGGGATGAAATGCACGTATCTACCAAATATATGATTTTGATTTTGTGCATTGACAGTTCAACATCTTATGTTCCTTCATTACACTTTGATATGTGTAGCTAACCTGACTGATATTGATAGAGAAGCACACACGAGTTATGACTAAGAGTGAGAGTGTTTGCCACAACACAGTCTCAGCCGTGTGTTTGTGTAACTTGGACTAATGTCCATAAACAGGAAACTCAACTGCACTTAGGTCCTGTTTATAGAATTGTTGTGAAAGAGAACCATTTGTTAACTTCAACAAGGCCTTTTTCTTTGTGAAAGTGATGTGAAAATCTTGGGCGAGGACCGGAAAATGTAAGATTTTAACTATGTCCATTGATATATTTACAGCAATGATTAATGATAAGAGTTATTTTGAGAC